AGGGGTCAGGGGTTAATGGGTTCGACCGGGGGTCGATAGGGGTCGAACCAGATGACGTCATAAATAAAAATTATTTAAAAATTAAAATATTATATATATAATATCTAATAATATATTGATATTAATAAAGGTATATTCATATATATTTGATGTTTCAAATATATTTAACAAGAAAATACAAAGAAATTAGAACAATCAAGTAGCAATTTATATTATTTAATAAATATTAACAAGTTTAGAATTGAAATTATGAATTTAATTGAAAAATAACATCAAATTTTAGGACAATATTTATAAAGTATCAAATATTTGAGGTATATCAATAAGTTTTAACAATTTAGGGGGTCAAAACATAATATTAAAAAGTTTGAATTTTTTTTTAAAAAATTACTGTTGAACCGGAAAAATCGGTTTTTGCCGGTCAAACCCGGTTTTTGACCGGCTTTGACCGGGTTTTTAAATTTCCGGTTTTTTAATATGACTCGGACCGGCTACCTGGCCGGTTTTCGGTTCGACCGGCCGGTCCGGTCCGAGTTTCAAAACAGAGTAAAAAGCACATATACCCAAACATGACTAAATATATGGGACAAGGAGTACCATAAAACTTGGTTAAATTATTTTCCTACACAAACCATTTTAGGAGAGTGCTAATGTAAAAGATATACGTGTGTATGTGAGAGCATGACAAAATGAATAAACTGAAATATCCAAAGGCAATGATGGATGTTTTTTTTTTTTTTTCTATAGTCCCTCTCTCTCTGCTTCTTTTGAATTTTGAAATGTAAATGCTTTTCTTTCGATCAAAATTCCATTAACCTAACAAAATGAAGTAATAGCAATGAAATATTTGTTTGAGCAAATAAAAAAAATTGGGAGGTAATTTTGGAGGGCATAATTAATACTATATGGAAACCTGATGAGCACAAAATCAAAGTCACCTAATAGATAAATCCAAACATATACGCTCAGACTCAAGAAAACAAAAGGAAAAAAAAAAAAGGTTACCTGCGAATTTGTTCTGACCCAAACTCAAAAGCTTTAGCATGGTTAAGTTTCCAATCTCTCTCGGTAGTGTTCCATTCAAGTCATTGTCGTTCAACGACAGTTCTTCTAGTTCTGAGCAGTTGTCAAACCGCGACAGAATTTGGCCTGATAATGTGTTATAGGCTAGGTAATACCCATGCAGTCTTGAAAGCTTAGAGCACAAGTTCACCGGAAGGTCGCCAGATAACGTGTTATTTCTCAAATTGACTATTTGCAGGGACGAGATGTTGAAAAGTGTTAGTGGTATAAGCCCTGTAAGCTGGTTATTTGCCATTCTTAAGACTTTCAAGTTTCCTAGATTACCGATTTCTTGGGGAATATTTCCTTGCAATTGATTGGACATGATACTTATGGACTCCAACTTTGATGCATTGAATAGGGAAGTCGGAATGGCACCTGTGAAGCTGTTATTTGACAAATCCAGGGCTTGAAGGTTAGGCAGAGAACCGAACCCCGAAGGAACCTCTCCGCCAAAATTGTTGTTGGCAAGACTAATATATTTGAGCCTGCGTAAATGCACCAGCATGGGCAAATTTCCCTGGAAATTGTTGCCACTGAGGTCAATAGAATTGACAAAAGAGAGGTTTCCTGTCTCTGGAGGGATGCTACCTTGAAGGCCTAAGTAAGAGAGATTCAAGGAGACAACTCTATGGTGGCGAGAGGAGCATGTCACTCCAATCCAGTTGCACACTGATACATTTGCAGTCCAATTTTTCCCCAGTAAGTTCGAAGAATGGAACAGTTGGGATTTTAAGGCAAACAATGCTGATTGATCTGTTTGGATGCTGCGTTTGATGTGGGCTATCGAAGCAGTAGGAAGACCTAGCAGCAGTACAAGATGAAAAAGGAAGACAGAAATATCCATGAGAAAAGGTGAAAAGTTGCAGGGCAAATAAGCAAAGACGAGGTTCTTGACTCTGATGACGAAACAAACAGGCCAGATGCCGTAGTATATGTAGTGTTGGAGCCTCATTGAATGGTCCAACGTGAAAAAAAAAAAAAAAAAAATTGAGAAGCGAACCAATTTAACACCAAAATATGACCTTAAGAAGTGAACATTTGAGTTTGAGAAGCAAATGAGTATGAAAAGGTTTGTGAAACCGAAGACTTGAACAAACAAGCCAGCTGCCTCAATACTATTTGTAGTTTTGGAGCCACTTCGTCTATACTCTGGCGCTGCTAAAGATGGTCCAACGTCAAAAGAAATATATGAGAAGCAAAAGATTTCATTCACTAAAATAATGGATTTATACACTAATCAGATTTTCAGTTGCGCTTGCAAATGCCGGTGGTAAATACAAATTCGTAAATTTTAATGGTTTTAGCAATTTTTCTATTTAATATCTAACGACGTTAAAATTAATCTTGCATATATCGACAATTTATATACTAGCGACTATAGATGGATATCATATATGTAAAATTTGAAATTTAAATTCAATTTAAAAATAGGTGACGCATCTATATCTACTAGTGTATATATACAAGATGAATTCGGAATTTATTATAATATTTCCGACATACCTAATAACTTCATATACTAAGATTGCTAAGAAAGTGATAAAGTTTTCAAAGAACTTATCGAATTTCTTTATTTATACTTGTACGTTTAATTAAACTTATTAACGGTTACAAGTTACCTTACTCCCATAGTTTAGCCATAGCTGGTCAATAGTACTTTTTTACCAAGCAAGTTAAGACTTTTTGTAGTAATAAACTAACCCGAATCCTGTGAGAACCCCAAAAGCAAGCTAAGCTGGTCAATAGTACTTCATCAATAAAAAATTTGCACAAGTACATGTTTTGAAGTATACTTCTTGTAGCTTTCCGTAAGATTTTGTGAAGTGTCAAACTTTCGACTTTCTTAAAAATAAAACGTGGATTCTTGAAAGTTGACCCGGGGATGGGGGTGGGGCCATCAAGTCAACATTTCCTCTTAAAATAAGTATAACATCTAACTTTCCGATACTTTTGAAATTAGAGCAATGACCAAATTGTAATACTACGATGTAAGGCCATTGCCACGGTCGGCGGCAGGGAACAACAGGAGCTGCCGCCCCAACACCCCTAAGGTTTGAGAAAATTAAATTTTATAATATATAACTTTAGAATTTTGACATTAATTTCTTTGCCATGCCCCCTAAAAAATTTCATTAGATTTCCTTGACCCCTCTCCCCCTGAGTTTTTGCTAAAAAAAGATAGTTCTTTCTCCTCTCTAAATGTAAGATTAATTTCTGAAATCTCCCTTGAGATTTATTCTAATATCATCTAGACTTTTCAAAATTTAAAAAATCTCACTTACCTCCCCCTATCCATATGATATACCAGATGTCGCAATCAGAATGGTTAACATGATGATGTTACCCTCAAAGTTTTCTTACTCTTTATGTAGCAAAAGGCTGGGGAAAGAAAAAAAAAAAAAAAACCCTCCTAAAGCTAAAATATATAAAAACAAAATAACAGGAGTGCCATTTAAAATATTTTTCTCTGTTTGTGTTGCAAAATATTGCTCTAAATCTTCCTATTTGCTGCAATCAGTCTCTTGATGTTTTCACTCTAACGTTCCATTGTTGTGTTTGCAGAGAGATACCTTATTAATCAAGTGTGTTAATAGAACCTATTTTTCTAGTAATGTGGACTAGTGAGGAAAAAGGAGGTAGTTTTTGAGCAAACTAAGGGTAGATATTTCATGTGAAGAGGTTTCCAAAAATGAGTTACGTAAGAAATCAATAAATTTGACATTAATAAGAACTTCTAGGCAAAATTTTATTAACAAATATTTGGAAGCACTTTATTAACATTTATGCATCAAAGACAATAGTCAATGATATTTAAACATAAATTCAAAATCTATTATGATATGAAATTATTTTAATATAAAATTTAAACATAAACTTAAGTTTTGCAATTGGCCAAATTACACTATACCCCCTGTGGTATAGCTAATTTTCATATAACCCCCTACAGTTTTAAAAGATATATATAACTCCAAAACTTAAGTTGGTATTACTTGAATAAGAGAAAGGTATTGTTGCCCATTTATCATTATAACATGGGCAATTTAATCATTGCATCAATATTCATAACGGTGTTACTAAAACTAATGATTAACTTTTTCTAGAGGAGCAAAGTATATATTGTTTCAGTTGAGGGGATAAATTGTGATTACCCCCTATTAAGGGAGGCAAAGTGTTATTAAGAAAAATCCTAATTTAAATTTCTCCAAAGTTGGGAACAGGGGGCAGCCCTGTTTCTGTTTGTCCTCCTGCCTCCATGCCTGACCTTGTCCTAATACCATAAATTTGGTCATTTGTCTAACTCCACAAATGTCGAAAAATTGCAATATAATATATTTTCAACATATAATGGTTGACTTGAGGCCCCTTATTACTTCCAGCCATTTACGTGTTTAGAAAGTTGGAATGCGACTCTTCCCCACAAATTGGTGAAAGTTACTACTTGAATAATAACTAGAATATTTTTATCTCCGAAATGTCCCTCTGCAAGTATCTGATTATGTAGAAATCCTTTGTTTTAGTAAATAAAAATAGTTTACTCCTCAAATTTCTTTGACATTGGACCATCTTTAGTAGCCACTGATTTTAGACAAAGGGACTCGGGGTCTCAATAGTTGAGTGCTATCTTAGTTCAAATCCATTCGTATGCTTTTTTTTTTTTTTTTTATCACATTTAATGCAAATTTTTACAGTTTTGATGTAATTATGAATTTATATTATGGTATGAGTTTACAAATTCAAATTCATACTCAAATTATGCGAATTTACACCAAAATTAATTGGATAGAGCTCAGCTTGTGAGAGGATCCCGTCTGTTTCCTAGACAACGAGACTCAAAAGCTATAAATAGTGAGTCATCTTGCCCGTTCGTTTCATCTTCAGTTTCACAAACCTCGTCTTTACTGATTTCCTCTGCAACTCCTCCCTCCCTTTTTCTCATGGACATAACTACCGTCCTTTTTCATCTTGCATTGCTGCTAAGTCTTCCTACTGTTTCGATAGCCCTCATCAAACGTAGCATCCAAACAGATCAATCAGCATTGTTTGCCTTAAAATCCCAACTGTTCGATTCTTCGAATTTACTGAGGAAAAATTGGACTGCAAATGTCTCAGTGTGCAACTGGTTTGGAGTGACATGCTCCTCTCGCCACCATAGAGTTGTCTCCTTGAATCTCTCTTATTTAGGCCTTCAAGGTAGCATCCCACCAGAGATAGGAAACCTCTCTTTTCTCAGTTCCATTGACCTCAGTGGCAACAATTTCCATGGAAATTTGCCCATGGAAGAAGGAATGGTACATTTACGCAGGCTCAGATATATTAGTCTTGCCAACAACAATTTTGGTGGAGAGGTTCCTCCGTGGTTTGGCTCTCTGCCTAATCTTCGAGTCCTGGATTTATCAAGTAACAGCTTCGTAGGTGGCATTCCGATTTCCCTATTTAATGCATCAAAGTTGGAGTCCATAAGCATCATGTTCAACCAAGTTCAAGGAAATATTCCCCGAGAAATTGGAAATCTTGGCAACTTGAAGATCTTAAGAATGGCAAATAACCAGCTTACAGGGTTTATACCACTGACACTTTTCAACATCTCGTCCTTGCAAATAGTTAATTTGACAAATAACACGCTAACTGGCGACCTTCCAGTGAACCTTTGCTCTGAGCTTTCAAATCTTCAAGAGTTTTACCTATCATCTAACAAATTATCAGGTCAAATTTTGTCACGGTTCGACAATTGCTTGGAACTTCGAGAACTGTCATTGAGCAGCAATGTTTTAAGCGGAACGTTACCAAGAGAAATTGGGAACTTAACCATGCTTAAGGTTTTGAGTTTGGGACAGAACACCTTCGCGGGTAATTTTACTTTTCTTTTGTTGTCTTCAGTCTAAAACTACATGTCATGATTTATTTAGAGGGTAATTTGCACTTTGTCCTCATGAAACTGGATCTATTACATTTGACTACTCGTTTTCGTCGATATAATGGTTTTAAAAATTGATGTCCTATCATTTTGCTTTAAAAGAAATTGACGTGATATTTATGCCGGGCGATTTGATTTTTATGCACAATACTATTGCAGGTGGAATTCCAGCGGAGACTGGTACGCTTCAGAATTTGGAGCTGTTAGTTATTGACGGATGTGACCTTACTGGTAAGTTCTGAAGTTTTTCTGGTAGAATTTAAAGGAACTAGGTGTTATAAGAGCAAGCCCAAAGAAAATTATATACTTTTTCTATCTCGTAAAGAAAAGTTTTTGTTTGGATAGGAGTTTATTTTGATGATTTATTTGAGATAATTACTATAATATTTTTTGTGATGTGATATATGTGAAATAAAAAAGTGATTGAAATTTATGAAGTAAATTATTTTATTTCAAAACTATGCAATCCAAACACCAAATTTATTATGACCAACCCACTCTTGAACCCCGCAAGAGGAATGGTTTAGTGGGTTAGTAGTTCAACCGTGATTAAGTGGTTCAACCGCTGGGTTCTCAAAATATAATAAATAAATATATAAATTAAATTACAGGAATTCAAGTTCTTAAAAATATAAAACCAATCCAGTTGAATCTTGCATGTTTAAAGATTCAAAGTTTGAATTATCATCTACATTGAACTTGTTTCAAACATAAACTTAAAATTCATTCTTCATAATAAGAACCGACAAGAGACAAGATAAATTTAATTAGGAATCGAAACCAACTTTGAAGTATAATATCTTGTTTTTATGTAGTTTTTTGCTCTCAATCACAAGATTTTATGTGAGTAATTATTATATTAGGGATGAACTATGGTAAGATATCATTTTGATGTTAGGAATCATAACTAACTTTAAAGTATAATATCTTGTTTTTATGCATTTTTTTGCTCTCAATTACAAGATTTTATAAGATTAATTATTATGTTAGGGATGAATTATGTTAAGATATCATTTCAATAATTTATTTTCTAACTTTTAGGATAAAGTCTGATAATACTAAAGATTCAAGAAAAGGCTTATTTGAGAAGTGTTTAGGGGGAATAAGTTATGGTAATATATCATTTGATAACTTATTTCCTTACTTTTAGGATAAAGTATAAGAGTACTAAAAATTTGAGAAAAGGCTTATTTGAGGAGTGTTTAAGGAGAAGAAAAAAGAAAGATTGAAGGCTTTGGGGAAAGGGAATCAAATATAAGATATTATAGCCTTTAATTTACAGCATAAAAGTGTTCGTGCCACTAACCAAAGGGCATGAAATTGTGTGAGAGGTCTTAAGTTTGAATTGTGCTAGTAGAATGTGTCTCAAATTTTGCTCCAAGTGCGAGCTGGAATGCTCAATACTCAGGCTGGTTTTCGGTTCTTTTGATTGAATCAACGGGTATTGACTTTTTATTGGTTCATTTATTCAAATGATCAGATTAGGAATCAGGGTGGCTAGTTTATCGGTTTGACCGGTTGTACTACTGGATCGGGTTGAATTTAATAACTATATGTCAAACTATAGATCTATATCCTTTTCAAATGAGTAGCCTACATGTGAATTTAACTAGCAACCATATTTAATGTGTATTTTTATCAATAAATATGAGTAATCTAATATTAGAATGATAAGTTCCAAAATAATCTAGGTTGTAAGCCATTAGTTTGAATGGGGTAAATATGAGTAATCTTGTAATGATAAAGGGGTATATGATTAAAGTACTAAATAAAAATAATTGATTCAACTAACTACGGTTAGGTTTACAGGTGTCCGCAGGGCACTTGATATGAGAGTGCTCAAGTATTAGTTTTTTGAAAAAATGTTATACATATGGGACAGTATCACAATTTAAGGAGTGCAAGAAATGTGACTATATATCTATACAGTGATTTAGGTGTATTAACAAGTGCTTGTTAGACACCTATTAAAAAAATCCTTAAACGTTTTAGAGAAATTTATCTTGGGAAATTAACCCTGTACAACCGAAAAAAATCAATAAAGGTGATTTAACTGTAAGAAAGTGACATTGTAATACGCTCTGTTTTTCAAGTTTGGTGATTTAACTATACTAAATTCGGAAATTCTGCTTGGGCATTGGCTTTCTTTTGAAGACACTAACAATCACTGGCAAAAGTTAAATAAATAAATAAAAAAGATAACAAGTGCATGTGGCTATCATTTTTATTGATAAAGAAACATACTTTTTATTTATTTATTTATTTATTTTTGGTACAATTTATTTTATTTTTTTGTAAGCTCATTGCTTTTTATTGATCATCAATGAAGCACTGTCAAGAGAAGTTTACAACCTATGCACAACTAGAAATTACATGAAAAAGTAATCATAAGCTATAACAAAAGCGAAAACAACCTATGCAGAAAAAATGGTAAGGGACAGATCCAAAGCAAAGCAAAAGTAATCACAAAAATTTTTTTTTTTCAAAATTTGAATTTTGACAAATAATGATCGTAAATCTTTTCAAGCGGTTGCTTGAAAACGGCCTTCTATCCATTCCTACCCCTATTTCAAAAACAATTAGTCTGCTAATTGCCCCTTAAAAACATGGGAAGATGGTTCTTGTTTTAATTTCTGTTCCATTCTGGCTTCAATATCTTTGTTTTTCTTTTTTATTATCTCAAATAAAAAACACTGAACTAAAGATTAGTTCTTCTTTATAAGAATTTGTTTTTGTAACACTTCCGTTTGGATTAACTATTTTTGGGAGTGTTTTTGAAAAATTTTACTATAGCAGAGTTTTTAGATTATATTTTGGAATATTTTCAGAAAATATTTTGGGATATTTACGAGTAGAAGAGTTTCTGGAATATATTTTGAGATATTTTTTAAAATTTTAAAAAAATTTAAACTAATTTTTAGATTACCTTTTAAAGTACTTTTTAAAAATTGGAATTGCATTTGAAAAACTAGTTTTTGAAAAACACTGAGTATTAAAAATCTCTTCTTATACATATTTCATGCATCCAAATTTTTTAGTATTAATAAAATCTTACACCAACAGTATATGAAAAATATATCTTTAATGCATGGAGCTTCGGATATAATTGCATAAATTGCAACACCTCATATGGATCATCCAAAAATTTAGACCAAAATTTTATTGCCACACAATTCCGGGTATAGGTCTAAACAATCAGACTTTGCCTAATTATCCTACTTGGGAGTTTGGTTTGGACCAAATGACCAATCGCCCCAAAAGGCCTCAACGTCATCATTAATTTTTTTGGGCAAATTCTACTTTACCCCCTATAGTTTAGCATTTTTTACATAACCCCCCTATAGTTTCAAAAGTTATACATAACCCCCTTATAGTGTGAATTAAAGTATCAAAGTGACGAAAATGATCATTCATAACGGCGTCACCTAAAATGTCAAAATTACCCTTATGTAAAGTTGAAATTTATGTATTAACCAAGGGGGATTATGTGTATATTTTGAAAATCATAAGAGGGTTGTATGGTAAAGTATTAAACCATAAGGGGGTTATATTGTAAAATATAAAAATTATACAGGGTTAATGTGTCATGTATTTATAAGGGTAATTTCGACATTTTCAGAAGTTCCGTTACGAGTGACTAATTCCGTTACTTTGACACTTTAATCCAAACCATAAGGGGGTTATTTATAGCTTTTGAAACTATAGGGGGTTATGTAAAAAAGGATAAACCACAGGGGGTAAAATATAATTTACCCATTTTTTTTCAATTACCATCATAAAACTTAATCAATCTGGTTGCAACATCCATCATTCTAAAGCATGTTTCTGTGCATTCTGAATTTTTGGCAGGTCCAATACCGGAAGAAATTGGCAATCTTCAGAAATTGAATATATTAGACTTGAATAGTAATGCCTTACAAGGACAAATTCCAGTAACCATGTTCAACATCTCAGCCATGACATACATTAGATTGACTCTGAATAACCTTTCAGGAAGTCTTCCACCTAGTATCGGCCATATTCTACCTAATCTAGAAACACTAAATCTTGCACATAATCATTTAACTGGAGTAATTCCTGATTCCATCTCAAATATGACTAAGCTATTTATTTTGGAACTCAGCCTCAACCATTTCACTGGTTCAATTCCTAGATCACTCGGCAGCTTGAATGTCCTTGAAACTCTTAATGTTGGATCCAACCATTTAACCACAGGGTACCCACAAGAGATGAGCATTATCTCATCTTTGGTGAATTGTGAAAGTTTAAGAGTTATGATATTGTCACATAATCCTATAAAAGGTATTCTTCCCCACACCATAGCCAATTTTTCCAATTCTCTTGAAAAGTTCATAACTAGTACTTGTGAACTAGAGGGTAGCATTCCACCTGAAATTGGTAATCTAAGTGGGCTGGTGGAACTGGATCTTAGCAGCAATTACCTCACCGGGCAATTTCCATTGGCATTCGAATTATCGAACCTTGAAGCGTTAGAACTTCAAAATAATAGGATTTTAGGGTCCCTTCCACCTTATCTTTGCAAGTTCAGGAGTTTAACTTTGTTAAACTTGAGTGAAAATAAATTCTCGGGTCAACTTCCAGATTGCTTTGGAAATATGACTTCTCTGAGAAAGCTTTATTTGAGCTCCAACATATTAAATTCCACCATGCCTGCCAGCCTCGGGAACTTAAAAGATCTGCTGTACCTAGATGTGCACTCGAATGCTTTAGGTGGTTATTTACCTCAAGAAATTGGAAATTTGAAGGCTGCAATATCCATGGACATGTCGCGGAATAAGTTTGCTGGAAATATCCCCACAACGGTTGGAAATCTGCAGAACTTGATTGACTTCTCATTGGCACATAATGAATTACAAGGGTTTATTCCAGAGAGAGTAGGAAAGATGGTGAACTTGGAATCATTAGATCTATCTCAAAACAATCTCACTGGAGAAATTCCAATATCGTTAGTATCACTCTTGGAGTTGAATTACTTTAATGTGTCATTCAACCGCCTGCATGGAAAAGTTCCGGCAAATGGGTCTTTCCTCAATTTCACGAGGGAATCATTTATGTCAAATGAAGCATTTTGCGGTGGTCCTCCTCAACTGCGACTCCCTCCTTGCCCAAACAATTCTCCTAAAGCATCCAGGACGAAAAAGTTCCCCAAAGTCGCATACATCTTGTTACAAATTGCATTGACAGTTATTGCAGTAAGTATATTCGTGTTAGTGCTCATCATGGCACAGCGTAGAAGCATAAATCGCACTCATACAAATCCACCCCCTCCAACCACCCATGAAAGAATCTCGTACTACGACCTTGTACATGCAACTAATGATTTTGGTGAAAGCAACTTGATTGCAAGTGGGAGCTATGGTTCAGTTTACAAGGGGGTCCTTAGCGATGGAAGTATTCTGGCAATAAAAGTTTTCAATTTGCAGGTGGAAGGAGCATTCAAAAGCTTCGATGCAGAATGTGAAGTCTTGCGGAATATTCGCCATCGAAATCTGGTGAAAGTCATTAGCAGTTGTTCTAACCACGATTTTAGAGCTTTAGTCTTGGAGTACATGCCTAATGGAAGCCTTGAAAGGTGGTTGTACTCTCACAACTATTTCTTGGATTTCCTGCAAAGGCTGAACATAATGATAGATGTAGCAACTGCATTGGATTATCTACACCATGGCTACTCATCACCTATCGTCCACTGTGATCTAAAGCCCAGCAATGTTCTTCTGGATCAAGACCTGACCGGTCACGTGGGTGACTTTGGCATTGCAAAGTTACTTAGTGGAAGTGAAAGTAAAGCAATAACAAATACACTTGCAACAATTGGCTACATAGCACCAGGTGACTTAAGTTTCTAATCCTAATCGATACCCCAACTGATGCATATGTGCTGTATTCATAACCCCGTTGTGTGAATTTTCTCGTGTTTATCCCATGTTACCTTTCTCAACGAGTAGGATAATAATGTTGATATTATCATTTCTTCTAGAGTATGGATCTGAAGGTAAAGTGTCGAGAAAGTGTGATGTCTATAGCTTTGGCATTCTGTTGATGGAAACATTTTCAAGAAAGAAGCCGACTGATGAAATGTTCACAGAAGATTGTGGATTGAAGGACTGGGTGAGGCATTTGCTGCAAAATCCAGAACTGGATCTAGTTGACCACAACTTGATAACTCCCCCGGATGAAAATTCAACAACAATCGTCCAATGTATCTTCAAAGTCATGGAAATGGCGGTCACATGCACTGTGGAATCACCAGAGGAGAGGATTGACATAAAAGATGCACTAAACGAACTCAGAAATATCAAAGTTCAATTTCTCTCCAAGTGAATTATCAAAAGGTAAAGATTCAATGCTTCATCATCACTTCTTAAAGACCGAGTAAAAGTAAAGCAAATGCATAAAATTTCTTTGCTTGAATGCAAAATCCAGGTTAAGCCATCAGAAAGCGAAATTAAAAACGAAGCTACCTTCAGCGAATGTGGATTCAGGAATGGAACTTGCTGAATTGCAGTGTGCGACCATCTCATATCTGTGTTCGATGGTTTCTTTCCCGGTTATTGCTTTCCCAAGTCTCAACTATTCTAGTAGCTGTGTAATGTGATTAGGAATTAACAACTCTCCCCAGCTCTGTATGCGAGTAAACTTGTCTCCCTAGGAATGGAGACTCACAGCTCCCTCATCGGTGCAGCATACCATAATTGGTTACCAAACTCGATTCGATTAATCAAGTTGCCAATCTATACAGTTAGCATAAGATGTAAACTCACCCCTTTTGCCAACTCAATGACAAGTGACAACGACACTCTTTTATCTTAATGGGCAAATTACATTTTACCCCCGTGATTTAGCATTTTTTCTACATAACCCCCCTATAGTTTCAAAAACTATACATAACCCCTTCATTATTTGGATTAAAGTGTCAAAGTGATGGAAATAGTCATTCGTAACAGAACTTCTACAAATGTCTAAATTACTCTTATAAATACAAGACACACTAACCCGGTATGATTTTTATATTTTATCATATAACCCCCTTATGGTTTAATACTTTACCATATAATCCCCTTATGATTTTCAAAATATATACATAACCCTCCTTGGTTAATAAATAATTTTTAACTTTACATAAGAGTATTTTTGATATTTTAGATGACTCCGTTACGAATGATTATTTCCGTCACTTTGACACTTTAATCCAAACCATGAAGGGTTATATATAGGTTTTGAAATCATAGGGGGTTATGTAAAAAAAATGCTAAACCACAGGGGGTAAAGTGAAATTTGCCCTATCTTAATTTGCATCTCAAATATCTTACCAAATCGTATATTTCAATGAATCAAGACAATGGAAGCAGTCCTAATGTTAACAAGAAAATTTTCCCAAAAAATGTGGGTAGAATGCACTTCAACAAGGAAAGATACTGAAAACTGCTATGAGGGAAAGGCGTGCAACCGTTCCTGGATAATGTAAGAGCCTTTTAACGAGTTGTAACACAATGTAAATAGCTTGTACATCATCGTAACAGGGGCGCTTTACTCATTTACTATGGCCCGTACGTAATAGTAATGTTAGAATTATGGAGCAACGTTTTCTGATTCTTACGGTTTGAATTTTTGCCTTGTTGGCAAATTTAGGACCATGAATAGTCCAGTTCTTGCCCTTAGCTCCCGCCGGAATCTTTCGAACAGAAATGGAAATAGCAGTCTAGATCCAATGTTAATATATTCTCTTTAACTAAAATGCTTAAGGAAATCTGAAAAAAGCTATACGAAAAAGCCCATCTCATGGGTGGAAAAAAAATGCTAGTACGTCTATGAGATCACACTATCACAGTACATGTTAAATGATGAAATGAATGCATGCTTGATTATAATTTTTTTTTCTCTAACGGGTTACAGTGAACACTTATTGAGATACCTAAATTACACATGGCATCCTTAGCACCATTTTCAGTGACAACTTAGTGCCATTTTTATATTTATACCAAGTATTCTATTTATTTAAATTGTTACGTGCTCTTTAATTTTTTTAATAAATCAAATTGGTTAGGTTTAATTCAAGTTTCCTTTATCATCGCATGATAAATGAAATTGACGCTAGATTTGGCATCAGATAGTTGGACCGAAGATCCCAATTACTTAAATTATACCAAACCTATCATGCAAATGTACACACTGACAATTATTATGCTACCTTGCATTTACAAGATTTCCTCATTTTTTTTGCATTAAATTCCCATATGTAGTTTCACTTATGTGCAATACATGCATACATATACATATACATAAACATAAGATTATGGATTGAATACTGGATAAGGCATTTGCTGCAAAATCCAGAACTGGATCTAGTAGACCACAACTTGATAACTGCCCCAGACGAAAATTCAACAAGAATCGTGCAATTTATCTTCAAAGTCATGGAAATGGCCGTTACATGCACAGTGGAATCACCAGAGGAGAGTATGGACATAAAAGAAGCTCTGAAGGAACTTAAAAAAAAAAAAAACAAAGTTCAATTTCTTCGTCAGTGAATCACTCCGAAGGTGAAGATACCAAGCTTGATCACATCTTAAATGACCCAGCAACATGGTTCAAACAGTCGGCTGAGTCATCACCGGAACAGGGTTTTTCGTTCCGATACCGAGACGAGATGATTCCAAGATAATGGATAGTCGAAAATTCGGTTGAGTCACCGAGAACTCGGCCAAAACGTCTTCAAGACGGAAAGAAACGGCCTAATCGTCCTGAGTCATCTCGACTCAATTCGAATTTTTATTTTTTTTGCTAATTTTTATTATTTTTGTTTATCATATCTTTTTACAATTTTAGAATATTAAATATTTCAAAATTTTGTGTCTTGCCGAGACCATGACCAATATGTCGAGAACGATGTGGAACGGTCCGAGTTACAACCATGACTGCGACCGTGATTTGAACTATGCCCAACAAAGGTAAAGCAGGAGAAGAAATATACTTCATTTGGTTTCCACATCCAGGTTATGCCATCACAGAAAACCAAATTAAGAGTGAAACTACATTCATTGAATGCAGAGTGAGGAATGGGACAGCCAGCGACTGTCGGTGATTTCTTTCCCGGTTATTTCTATCCCAAGTCCCACCTATGCTAATAGCTAGGGATGTGAATCGAAATCGAAACTTTGAAATTGGAATTTTTCAAAATTTTGGTATCAGAATTATCGATTGATTTCGATTTCGAATTCATCAATTTCGAATTCGAATTCGTTTTGAATTCAATTCATAATTCGATAAATTCTGATTTCATTGAATTCATGAATATAAAAATTATTATTATTATAAAAAATAGAAATTCTGATTTTACCGAATTCATGAATATAAAAATTATTATTATAATATAAATGTTATATTATATATTATATATTATATATATATATATATATGAAAAAATAGATTTGAATTCGAAATCGAAATTTCCGATTTGAAAAATCTCATTACCGAATTCGACTAATTCAAAATTGGATATTCCGATTTCCATACGGAATTACCGAATTACCGAATTTGAAATTCCGAATTCAATTCGAATTCGATCGGTAAATTGGAAATTTTCAATTTTGCACACCCCTACTAATTGCTGTGTAACGTGATTCTTTCGAAACTTTGTTATGACTGCAATTAGCAATTAACAACTCCATCATCAGTGCAGCAGATAATTACTATTTAGTTACCAGACTTATATCCGATTAATTTACACGTTCCCAAAACTCAGGCATAGGGCGGCAGCCCCACTGTTCCCTGCCTCCAACCGTGACTTTGGCATTATATTATAATAATAATTTGGTCATAAATCTCAAAAGTTTGGTAGAATTACGTGTTATAAATATAATTATTTTATGAGGAAATGTTGACTTGAGGGCCCCTTACAACTTTCTTAAAATTCACGTTTTTAAGAAAGTTAAAAGTTCGACTCTTTCACAAAAGTTAGTGAAAGTTACAATAAGTATACTTTAAATATTTTATTTGCTACCGTACAAATTTTTAATGACTGAAGCATCAGTGACCAGGTGAAGCTAGGCTATGGGAGTAATGTGACTTGCTATTGTTAATGATTTTATTAAAAATAAAATGTACAAGTATAAATAAAGAAATTCAATAGATTGTTTGACAACCTTATCAACTTCTTGGCCAAGGTCTGAGGATGTAGAAATTCAAGATTCAAGTCTTTCTACCTTCCTTCCTTCTCGTATCTTAAATCTTGCTCCTTTTTGTTAAATGTTAGGACACTCGGACACCCAAATTAATAATAACTAGTGGTTGAAGATATTCATGTGTGTGACTAATAAAAAGATATAAAAATGATTAGTATGATTTTTTTTTTTTGGAAAATAGTGGTTTAAAATAGTTCAAATGTTTAGTATTTTAGAGAAATAGTAGTTTTTTTTTTTATACAGAGAGTGGTAGTTAATTCAACAAATGCAGAGTGGCGATAGGGAGATGGATAGTTAAAATGATTTAATTGTTTTTAGCGAAAAGAGTAGATTAAGTAACATATTAGATGACACAATTTGTTAACACAAATCTCTCCCTTGCGCTCTATATATAATACAGATGATAATAAAGTCATTTGGGTATTAAAAAGAAAGATGCTAAAACTACTAAAATTTGCTAATCTCTATTTATCACCGTCATTTGCAAGGGTAGGGTAAGTAAATATCTAATTGGTGTATAAATCCATTATCACAGTGAATATAATAATTTTTACTCGTCAAATTATTTCTTTCGACGTTGGACCATCTTTAGCTGCCAGGGTGTTCAGACAAAGTGGCTCCAAAACTACAAATACTACCGACGCATCCGGCTGTACGTTTCATCTTCAGTTTCACAAACCTCGTCTTTACTGATTTCCTCTGCAACTCCTCCCTCCCTTTTTCTCATGGATATAATTACCGTCCTTTTTCATCTTGCATTGCTGCTAAGTCTTCCTACTGTTTCGATAGCCCTCATCAAACGTAGCATCCAAACAGATCAATCAGCATTGTTTGCCTTAAAATCCCAACTGTTCGATTCTTCGAACTTACTGAGGAAAAATTGGACTGCAAATGTATCTGTGTGCAACTGGATTGGAGTGACATGCTCCTCTCGCCACCATAGAGTTGTCTCCTTGAATCTCTCTTATTTAGGCCTTCAAGGTAGCATCCCTCCAGAGATAGGAAACCTCTCTTTTCTCAATTCTATTGACCTCAGTGGCAACAATTTCCATGGAAATTTGCCCATGGAAGAAGGAATGGTGCATTTACGCAGACTCAAATATATTAGCCTTGCCTTCAATAATTTTGGTGGAGAGGTTCCTTCGTGGTTCGGTTCTCTGCCTAACCTTCGAGTCCAGGATTTGTCAAATAACAGCTTCACAGGTGCCATTCCGATTTCCCTATTTAATGCATCAAAGTTGGAGTCCATAAGTATCATGTTCAATCAATTGCAAGGAAATGTTCCCCAAGAAATTGGCAATCTTGTCAACTTGAAGATCTTTAGAATGGCAAAGAACCAGCTTACAGGGTTTATACCATTAACCCTTTTCAACATCTCGTCCCTGCAAATAGTCAATTTGACAAATAACTTGCTATCCGGCAACCTTCCGGTGAACCTGTGCTCTAAGCTTTCAGGACTTCAAGGCTTTGACATATCCTATAACACATTATCAGGCCAAATTCTGTCGCGGTTCGACAACTGCTCAGAACTTGAAGAACTGTCATTGAACAACAATTATTTAAGCGGAAAGCTGCCAAGAGAGATTGGGAACTTAACCATGCTAAAGCTTTTGGGTTTGGGTCAGAACAGATTCACAGGTAACTTCTTTTTTTTTCCTTCTAGACGTCATGGTTTTTAAATGCTGTCACATTTTCTAGCATTAAAAAAGAAGAAATCTACATGATATTATGGCTGGCGATTTGATTTTTGTGCACAATACCATTGCAGGTGGAATTCCAGCGGAGATTGGTCATCTCCAGAATTTGGAGTTTTTAGCTATTGATGGATGTTCCCTTAACGGTAAGTACTAAAGTTGTTTTGGTGCAATTAAATGGTTTGACAAACTTTTGTCCTAATTAAATAGTTAGAGAAATCTTGAGTTCGCAATTCATTCTGTCATGTTACAACTTTTATAAGATACGCTTATGTTTAGTTACTAATATAATGTGATCTCTACTAGAAAATCATTTAATGCTACAGAGTTTGACGTTCTTTGTGCAATTACATGTCCAAAAATAATGTAGTACTTTATCTTAGATATTAATTTTTTTTAACACTCCCACCCCTTGTCGTACCCTTCCTATCTCCAACGGTCAAGCACAGGAATTCGACCCCAAAATTTGATAATGAGTAAGACTCTAAAATCCCTCCCCCACTGTTGGGCCAACCAGTGGTTACTTTAGATATTAATTGGCAACAAAGGTTTTAGGAAAATATATAGAGGTGATTTAACTATAAGAAACAGACGGTGTAACACTTTCTATTTTTCAAGTTTGGAAACATTTTCAATCTTTGTCGACCAGAAAAAAGGAAAGTTTTTTTCTGCTGAGATATTGGCTTGTAAATCACTATTATGACTTGCTTAGAACTATACGAAACCTTGTTTTCATTTCTATACCAAAATATCATTCCCGATTTATCTATTCAAGAATAATTTCCGTCCATATTAGGTCAAACTATAAGATGACCCTCTATCTCTAATTCATAGTATCTGTGTTTTTTTTTGGTTAAATAAACGCTGATTTAGGCAATCCTTAAGGGTGGGCGGCCTGGTTTTGTTCTGTTGATTTTCTCAAATAAACAATCGACTAGAGGGGTAATATTTCTAGCTGTTAATGTAAGATTTATTTTTACAACTGAGTCTGTATGCACGAGTATTCTGAAGCATGTTTTTTTATTTTTTTTGCATTCTCAAATTTTGGCAGGTCCAATACCGAAAGATATTGGCAATCTTCAGAAATTGAATATATTAAACTTAGCTGCTAGTGGCTTGAGTGGTGAAATTCCAGTAACCATATTCAACATCTCTGCCCTGAGATGGATTTTATTGACCCTGAACGACCTTTCAGGAAGTCTTCCACCTAGCATAGGCCGCATGCTACCTAATCTAGAAAGATTGAATGTGGCGCATAATGAAATATCTGGGGTGATTCCTGATTCCATCTCAAATATGACTAAGCTAGTTATTTTGGAGCTCAGCATGAACCATTTCACTGGTTCAATTCCCAGATCACTTGGCAGTTTGAATCTCCTTGAAACTCTTAATGTTGCAAGCAATTATTTAACCACAGCTTACCCCAACGAGTTAAGCATTATTTCATCTTGGACGAATTTTAAAAGTTTAAAACTTTTGATATTGGATTATGTTTCTATTAAAGGTACTATTCCACGTACCATAGCCAATTTTTCCAATTCTCTTCAAAAATTCCTTGTTCGTAATTGTGAATTAGAAGGCAGCATTCCACCTGAGATTGGAAATTTTAGTAGGATGATAAGCCTGGATCTTAGCAGCAATTTCTTCAAGGGTCAACTTCCGTTGACATTCCAAGGGTTACCGAATCTCCAAGGATTAGAACTTCAAAATAATACAATTTCAGGGGCCATCTCACCTAATTTTTGCAATCTCAGGAGTTTAACTCTATTAGACTTGAGTCAAAATAAATTCTCAGGTCACCTTCCAGAATGCTTGGGAAATATGTCTTCTGTTAGGACCGGGCCAGGAATAGACAAACTCAAGTTAGCACAAAGTAGGCGGTATAACCGACCATATAATAGATAGGCGGTAGATACCAGCCATATAATAATTAGGCGGTAAAACCGACCATATAAAGACGGATAACAAAGCAAATAAAAGACACAGAAGATTTACGTGGTTCGGTCAAATTGACCTACGTCCACGGGCGAGGGAGGAGCAATATTTCTACTATGAAGAAGAAATACAAAAGACCGTAGGAACGTGGTTCCTAGGCCAATAGGCACTTACAAAAGAGTTTAGAAAATATTCCTAAACTCAAAATAAGAGAGCCTAAAATATTTGACTAAATGGGTTAAATGACTCAAGAAGCTAATAGCCCATATAACTCTCTTAAGTGGTGCACTTAAACTTCTCAAAGGCCTTCTCTATTTATAGGAAACAATGGAGGCTATTCCCTCAGCTTCTGGCGATGTGGGATTACAAAATTCTGCCACAGTCAAGAATCAAGAATTGCGGCTGCAGCAAGAAGTCAAGAATTGCTGCTGTGGCTTGACTTTAACAAATCTCCACCTTGGCATAATTTTGAGTACCACTATCGACAATAGTAAAATTGCTCCACCTTCTCCACATAAGCCCCAATGGGCGTAAATCACCAACAATGAACACCAATCAAATCCAAGCACTGCTTGAATTTGTAAACTGGAAGAGATTTCGTAAACATATCGGCTGGATTGTCCTTAGTATTGATTTTCTGAATAAGGACTTTTCCCTCAGCAATGATATCCCGAATGAAGTGATACTTCACATCAATATGCTTCGTCCTCTCATGATACATCTGATCTTTAGTCAAGTGTATGGCACTTTGACTATCACAGTGAATATCAATAACACCTTGATATAGACTTAGCTCGCTAAATAAACTCTTCAACCACAAGGCTTCTTTGATTGCCTCGGTCACAGCCATATATTCTGCTTCAGTAGTAGACAAAGCTACGACAGGTTGTAGAGTAGCTTTCCAACTAACAGCACAACCGCCAATGCAAAATACATAGCCTGAAAGTGATCTTCTCCTGTCAAGATCTCCAGCGTAGTCTGAGTCTACAAAACCAACCAAAGTGTTATTATTTCTTCCAAACTCCAAACATGCATTTGAAGTACCTCGCAAGTATCTGAGAATCCACTTCACAGCTTGCCAATGTGCTTTACCAGGGCAAGACATATATCTGCTAACAACACTGACTGCTTGTGCAATATCTGGACGAGTACAAACCATTGCATACATAATACTGCCGACTGCACTGGAATAAGGAACCCGTGCCATATAATCTTCCTCTTCATCTGATTTTGGTGATTGAGCAGCAGATAGCCGAAAATGGCTAGCAAGAGGAGTAGATACTGGTTTAGCATCTTTCATGCCAAAACGCTCCAAAACTTTCTCAAGGTAATTTTTCTGGGTCAAGAATAACTTCCCTACTCCTCGATCTCTCTTGATATCCATGCCAAGAATTTTCTTAGCTGCTCCCAAATCTTTCATTTCAAATTCACTATTTAACTGCAGTTTCAAAGTGTGAATTTCTGACAAATTCTTGGCAGCAATGAGCATGTCATCAACATAAAGCAGCAAATAAATGAAAGAACCATCATTTAACTTCCGGAAGTAAACACAACTATCATACATGCTCCTCAAATAACCATGACCCAACATAAAGGAATCAAACCTTTTATACCATTGTCTTGGAGACTGTTTCAATCCATATAAGGATTTCTTCAATAAGCAAACATGGTCTTCCTTACCTTCAATTTCAAAACCCTGGGGTTGTTTCATATAAATTTGTTCTTCAAGTTCGCCATGTAAGAAAGCTGTCTTAACGTCGAGCTGTTCTAACTCCAAATTATACATGGCAACTAAAGCAAGCAAAACACGAATAGAGCTATGTTTAACAACAGGTGAGAATATATCATTAAAATCAACACCTTGTACCTGACTATAGCCCTTTGCAACCAATCGTGCTTTATATCTTGCATCTTCAACCCCTGGAATACCTTCTTTTTTCTTGAAGACCCACTTGCAACCAACAATTTTCTTAGCTGGCGGCGGCTTTACAAGAACCCAAGTTTCATTACGATGAAGAGATTCAATTTCTTCATTCATCGCAATCAACCACTTTGCAGAATCATCACAAGAAACTGCTTCTGAATAGGTGGAAGGCTCACCAATTGCATCAGTTTCTTCTGCAACAGATAAAGCATATGCAACTAAATTTGCATATCTTTGTGGTGGTCGAATGTCTCTCCTTGCTCTATCTCTGGCTATGGAATACTCTTCTTCTTCAGAACTATCTTCAACAGTAGATTCAGGTGTATCTACTGACATTTGAATAGAAGATTTGGTCTGAGAAGGACCAGAACTGCCAATATCAAGCTCCACCTGCTTCTGTGTACTATCAGTAGTACAAGAACTAGAAGACTCCTTCTTGGAAGATAACATAGATAATTCATCAAAAGTAACATCTCTACTGATTACAAATTTTGGGGATTGGGGATCAGGACACCATAATCTATATCCTTTCACCCCAAAAGCATACCCAAGAAAAATGCACTTTTTAGCCCTAGGCTCCAATTTTCCATCATTCACGTGCATGTATGCTGGACACCCAAAAATTTTTAAATTGGAGTAATCAGCAGGAGTACCTGACCAAACTTCCTCAGGAGTTTTGAAATCAAGAGATGCAGAAGGAGAACGGTTGACAATATAACAGGCCATATTGATCGCCTCTGCCCAAAAGTCGTTTGTCAACCCTGCATTGGAGATCATACATCTTGCTCTCTCCAAAAGCGTTCTGTTCATACGTTCAGCCACACCATTTTGTTGAGGCGTCATCCTGACGGTGTGATGCCGAACAATTCCTTCATTCTTGCAGAATTCATTAAATTCACCTCCACAAAATTCCATGCCATTATCTGTTCTCAACCGCTTAATGTGTTTTCCTGTTTGCTTCTCAATCAAAACTTTCCATTGCTTGAAAGTTAGGAAAACATCATTTTTATGCTTAAGAAAATATACCCAAACTTTCCTTGAATAATCATCAATGAAAGTCAACATGTACCTGGCACCACCTTTAGAAGGAGCACGAGAAGGACCCCAGAGGTCTGAATGAATGTAGTCCAAAGTTCCTTTTGTCCTGTGAACTGCCGGCAACTGGAAGCTAACTCTCTTCTGCTTTCCAAAAATGCAATGTTCACAGAGTCCCATCTTTCCAATACTTTGACTACCAAGAAGACCTCGTTTGCATAAAATTGATAAGCCCTTCTCGCTCATGTGCCCCAATCTCATATGCCATAGTTTGGTAAAATCAGAATCAGACAAAGTTGATGTAGAAACAGCAGCAGCACCTGTAACAGTAGATCCCTGCAAAATATATAAAGTACCAGATCTGTGTGCCTTCATAACAACAAGAGCTCCTCGAGTAATTTTGAGAACTCCGTCTCCACCTGAATACCTGCACCCGATAGACTCAAGAGTGCCCAAAGAGATGAGATTTTTCTTCAAATCTGGAACATGTCTAACATCTGTGAGCGTCCTCACAATACCATCGTACATTTTAATTCGGATTGTGCCTTTGCCAACAACTTTACAAACAGCGTTGTTGCCCATTAAGACAACTCCACCTTCAGCTGATTCATATGTTGAAAACCAGTCCCTGTTGGGACACATATGATACGAACAACCCGAATCTAAAATCCACTCATTGTTAGACCTAAAATTATTTTCCGTTGCACAGAAAATAGTTCCATCATTCTCATCAGCTGCTATACTAGCTTCAGCGGATTCAGTATTTTTCTCAACAAATTTCCCCTTTTGCTTTTCTTTATTTTTCAATTTAAAGCAATCAGAGATAACATGGCCCTTCTTTTTACAATAATTGCACACCACATTTTTATGTCTGGACTTGGATCTACTTCTATTTTCTGTGTTTCTCTTTTCAGATCTACCCCGAACAAACAAGCCATCGGCTTGACTCCCACTAATTTCCCCAGTAATATCCCTATCTATCTGCTCTTTAGATTTTAATGCAGATTTAATTTCCCGATACGAGATTGTTTCCTTTCCATAAATCATAGTATCACGGAAATGCTTAAAAGACTGGGGAAGGAAACACAAAAGTAATAGGGCTTGATCTTCATCATCAATTTTCGAATCTATATTCCCCAAATCCATAATAATGGAATCAAATTTATCAAGATGGGAGAGTATAGATGTACCTTCAGACATCCGAAGCATGTACAAACTCTGCTTCAAATATAGCCGATTCTCGACTGTCTTCTTCATATACAAGGCTTTCAATTTATCCCACATAGCCTTGGCCGAAGTCTCCGTTGCTACCTCACGCAATACCTCATCGGAGAGATTTAAGATTATACTGGATCTGGCCTTCTTATCCATATCGGCGAAATCCGCATCCTTGACATCCTCTGGTTTGTTCTCGATTCCATGAATCGCTAGATCAACTCCGTCTTGAACAAGAATGGTCTCCATCTTGAGCTGCCACATTCCGAAGTTGACATTCCTGTCGAATTTCTCGACAACCGTCTTTGTTATCGTCATTGTTGCCACAAAATCTGTAACGTGAAGTTTGTCTCAAAAAACTGGCCAAACAAATATGCAAGTCTCGTGAGCGGGCCCCACAGGGTGAGCGGACCCCACGAGATAAGCGGGCCTCACGGGGATGAACGAACCCCACAAGGTGAGCGAGCCCCACGGATAACGGACCCCACAGGATGAGTGGGCCCCACAGGATGGACGGACCCCACCAGATGAACGGGCCCCACCAGATGAACCTGTCTTGCAAAATATAACAACCAGCTCTGATACCAGTTTGTTAGGACCGGGCCAGGAATAGACAAACTCAAGTTAGCACAAAGTAGGCGGTATAACCGACCATATAATAGATAGGCGGTAGATACCAGCCATATAATAATTAGGCGGTAAAACCGACCATATAAAGACGGATAACAAAGCAAATAAAAGACACAGAAGATTTACGTGGTTCGGTCAAATTAACCTACGTCCACGGGCGAGGGAGGAGCAATATTTCTACTATGAAGAAGAAATACAAAAGACCGTAGGAAAGTGGTTCCTAGGCCAATAGGCACTTACAAAAGAGTTTAGAAAATATTTCTAAACTCAAAATAAGAGAGCCTAAAATATTTGACTAAATGGGCTAAATGACTCAAGAAACTAATAGCCCATATAACTCTCTTAAGTGGTGCACTTAAACTTCTCAAAGGCCTTCTCTATTTATAGGAAACAATGGAGGCTATTCCCTCAGCTTCTGGCGATGTGGGATTACAAAATTCTGCCACAGTCAAGAATCAAGAATTGCGGCTGCAGCAAGAAGTCAAGAATTGCTGCTGTGGCTTGACTTTAACATCTTCTCTGGGAAAGCTTAATCTGTCCTCCAACGGATTAAATGCCACCATACCGGCCAGCCTCTGGTACCTAAAGGATCTGATGTCTTTAGATGCCCACTCAAATGCTTTCGGTGGTTTCATACCGCAAGAAATTGGAAATTTGTTGGCCGCAACAGACATAGACTTGTCAAGGAATAAGTTTTCAGGAAATATTCCGGCATTGGTTGGAAGTCTTAAGAACTTGATTAGTTTCACATTGGCAGACAATGAACTGCAAGGATCTATTCCTGAGATAGTAAGAAAGATGGTGAACTTGGAATCATTGGATCTATCTCAAAATAATCTCACTGGAGAGATTCCTGCATCATTGGCATCACTCTTGCAGTTGAAGCATTTTAATGTGTCATTCAACCACCTGCATGGAAAAATTCCAGCAAATGGTTCTTTCCTCAATTTCACGATTGAATCGTTCATGTTCAATGAAGCATTATGTGGTGGCCCTCCTCAACTGGGATTCCCTCCTTGCCCAAACAATTCTCCTCAAGCATCCAGGACAAAAAAATTCCCCAGAGTTGCATACATCCTGTTACCAATTGCGTTCACAGTTTTTGCAGTTATTATCATTGTGTTGGTGCTCACCATGACAAGGCGTGGAAACAGAAATCGTGCTCAAACAAATCCACTCCCTCCAACCACACATGAAAGGATTTCGTACTATGACCTTGTGCATGCAACTAATGATTTTGGTGAAAGCAACTTAATAGCAAGTGGGAGCTATGGTTCGGTTTACAAGGGGGTGCTTAGGGATGGGAGTATTCTGGCAATAAAAGTTTTCAATTTGCAAGTTGAAGGAGCATTCAAAAGCTTCGATGCAGAATGTGAAGTTCTGCGGAATATTCGCCATCAAAATCTGGTAAAAGTCATCAGCAGTTGCTCTAACCATGATTTTAGAGCTTTAGTCTTGGAGTACATGCCTAACGGAAGCCTTGAAAGGTGGTTATATTCTCACAACTATTTCTTGAATTTCCTGCAAAGGCTGAACATAGTTATAGATGTAGCAACTGCACTGGATTATCTCCACCATGGCTATTCATCACCTATTGTCCACTGTGATCTGAAGCCCAGCAATGCTCTTCTGGATCAAGACATGACCGGTCACGTGGGTGACTTTGGCATTGCAAAGTTACTTAGTGGAGGTGAAAGTAAAGCAATAACAAATACACTTGCACCAATTGGCTACATAGCACCAGGTGACTTAAGTTTCTAATCCTAATCGATACCCCAACTGATGCATATATGCTGTATTCATAACCCCGTTGTGTAAATTTTCTCGTGTTTATCCCATGTTACCTTTCTCAACGAGTAGGATAATAATTTTGATATTATCGTTTCTACTAGAGTATGGATCTGAAGGTAAAGTGTCGAGAAAGTGTGATGTCTATAGCTTTGGCATTCTGTTGATGGAAACATTTTCAAGAAAGAAACCGACTGATGAAATGTTCACAGAAGATTGTGGATTGAAGGATTGGGTAAGGCATTTGCTGCAAAATCCAGAACTGGATCTAGTGGACCACAACTTGATAACTCCCCCGGATGAAAATTCAACAACAATTATCCAATGTATCTTCAAAATCATGGAAATGGCGGTCACATGCACAGTGGAATCACCAGAGGAGAGGATTGACATAAAAGATGCTTTGAATGAACTCAAAAATATCGATGTTCAATTTCTCTCCAAGTGAGTTATCGAAAGGTAAAGATTCCATGCTCCATCATCACTTCTTAAGGACCGAGTAAAATTAAGTAAACAAAATGCATAGAATTTCTTTACCTGAACGCAAAATCCAGGTTAAGCCATCAGAAAACCAAATTAAAAATGAAACTACCTTCATCGAATGTGGATTCAGGAATGGAACGTGCTGACAGGCTGCGACTTATAAGGTGCCTAGAAGAAGGCTTGCTTGCATGATGCATTCGATAAATTTTAAGGTAAATTTCAGTGTATGACCATCTCATATCTATGTTCGATGGTTTCTTTCCTGGTTGTTGCTTTCCCAAATCCCAACTATGCTGATAGCTGTGTAATGTGATTCTTTTGAAACTTTGTTTCGAATGCAATTTGGAATTAACAACTCTTCCCAGCTCTCTATGAGAGTAAAGTAGTCTTCCTAAGAATGGAGACTCAAAGCTCCATCGTCAGTGCAGCAGATCATAATTAGTTACCAAACTTGATTCGACTAATCAAGTTGCCAATCAATGCAATTAGCATAAGATGTATACTCTTCACTCACCTCTTTTGCCAACTCAATGACAACGATACTCTTTTATCTTAATTTGCATCTCAAATATCTAACCAAAGTCGTATATTCCAATGAATCAAGACAATAGAAGCCGTCCTAGTGTTAATATGAAAAATTTCCCAAAAAAATTGGGTAAAACATACTACAACAAGGAAAGACACTGGAAACTACCACAATGGAAAGGGATGCAGCCGTTTCTGAGCAATATAAGAGCTTTTTAACAAGTTGTAATTGTTGCGGAAGCTCTACCAAATTAAGGTGTAACGAGTAAATTATTGTACCTAAAATTGCAAAATGGTAATTTTCAAAAAATATTTGGTGAGGCACACTGGCCTACTTAAGTACCAATTTCCTAGACAGAATCACCTATATATGCAATTAATTACACAATAACTACAAATATACCTACAAATACAGCTACTAAATAGACAATAAAATAGAACACTAGAATTTAATGAGGTTCGGCTAATTTGCCTACGTCCTCGTACACTACCGACAATTTAATATTTCACTAGAAAAAATATTATAAAGAGAGAGAAGAAAGCAAGTTATTAACTCTTGCTTGGTGTGATTGAATTGGTTTGTTTGAGAGTTATTTATAACTCTCAAGCAACCTCTCAAATGTTAAACTAACCGATGTGGGATTTAGAAACTTAGGCTAAAAATTTCAAAGTCAACAATTTTGGCTTGGAAAAGTCATCAATTGAGGTTTTGAATTCAACAAATCTCCACATTGGCATAATTTCTAATTCCACCAAAAATACAAAATCTTCTCACTCAATATTCGGTGGTGTCTTCAAATGCATTATCAAGTGCCAATCTTCAAATTGTGCATAACATTTATCAAATTCAAACAATGTTGGAATTTGATAGTTGTCACAACCTTCATAAGCATATCAGCAGGATTCTCCTTAGTCTGAATCTTTTGAAGTAGTATCGTACTATCTTCCAAAATTTTCCTCACAAAATGATACCGTACGTCGATATGCTTCGTCCTTGCATGATAAACCTGGTTTTTTGCTAAAAGAATAGCATTCTGACTATCACAATGAACTTTGATAGACTTCTGTCTGATTCCCAATTCATCAAATAACCCATGAAGCCAAATTGCTTCCTTAACAGCCTCCGTAACTGCCATATACTCCGCCTCTGTAGTAGACAAAGCAACCGTTGACTGTAAAATAGACCTCCAACTGACTGGTGCCTTAGCAAGTGTAAACACATATCCAGTCGTTGATCGACGTGTATCTTGATCACCTGTGTAGACACCAAATTTTTGGTGTAATTTCTTTTACTTTTTATTCTCATTTGTCGTGGTTGCTTTTAGTTTTTTTAGTTTCTAGTTTCTATTTTAATTTTTAAGTTTTAACGTAGAAAAATCATGGAAAAAGAGAAAAAAAGGAAAATTGTTCACAAAAATACGTTCAAATTTAATTTTTTGGCATTTTGGTTTATTTTTGTTAATTTATTTTGAAAAAAAAAAAAGAAAAAAAAATGATGAGAAATGATGAAAAATGAAAGAAAAGATCGAAAATGGTAATTTTGTTATTTTTAGTTTGTTTATTTCGATGTGTTTGTAATTAAAATTGTTGTTTTTATTATTATTTAGTTTTACTATTATTTTTGTTAAATAATTAAGGTGAAAAAAAAATAAAATAAAAAAAAACATCTCCATAACCACGGCACCACTTCATTCATTCCACTTCACATATCAAACCACAGCTGCACCTCACCTTCATTGTAGCGTCCGAGAGCAAGTGAGTGAGAGCTGCTCCTCGTGAGTATCGACCAAAGGAAGCCGCGCGAGCTGCAACCTTTATATTCTGTCCGAGCAAGTTAAGTGAGAGAGATAGAGAGAGAGAGAGAGAGAAAGCAAAAGGCAGTTGCGGGAGCTGCTGATCATCACCACCTTCATGAGCTCCAGCCATCAAAACCACAGCTGCAACCATCCGCAACCAGGACCAACACCTGCAGTCCTTGCGCGAGCCGAGAGGAGGAGAAGTTGACAGCTTTCTTGTCGCGTGTATAAGCTTCAATTTAAGGTAATTTCCGAGCTAAGATAACTTGATTAGAGGTAGATTAAATTGTTTATGGCCATGCATGTGAAGTTTAGGCGTTCGGATGATGAATTGAATAAGAGGGAAAATCTGATTTTGAAGGAAATGGGTTTGCTGAGAAGCTGAAATGGAACTGCCGCTTAATCTTGTTTCTCTGAAGTAATCTAAGCTCATAAATGTGATTAGTTAACTAAAAAACTAAATGATTAAGTCTTGCATGAGGTTAGTTAGCTCGGATTAAGCCAGAAAAATAAGAATGAAATGGATTCTGTTGCATGCAAGATTAGCCGAGAAGTGTGGCTGTTGTCCGAATCTGATTTTTGAACTAGAAACGTTAATTAATTAGTTAAGGAGTTGCATGCTGGATTTGAGTGCCAAATACAAGGCTTTGGCCGAAAAAAAAGCTGGATTATGACCAACTAAGTGCTGGAAAAATTTCTGTTGTGCCGAGGGAGTGAAGCTGGAATTGCAGCTTGTTTTTGGAAATTTTCTTTGGAAATGATGTTTAGAAATGCCTGAAATATGTGTGTCTTAAGTCTTGTAAGCTATATAGATGTGAAACTCTTGATATGCTGGGAGATTGAACTGGAAATAGTTAAATGAAACTGCTGGAATTTTTCCAGTATAGCCGAGTGAAGAAGAAAAGATTTTTCCAGTTTTCTTTAGGAATTTTGGGATTCCAAATTGTTCCATTTAAAGTTTGACAAGCTGTAAAATATTCCACACTTGTTGATTTCACTCTAGAATATTTTAAGAGGGTCATGCATGCGATTACTGTTAAGATGATATCCGGAAGTCTTGTCTGAAATAAGAAAAGCTGCGCTTCATTGCTCCTGTTTTGTTCATTGGCTTTGCTTGCGTCTATAAGAAATTTCATGTTTGGGGACATTCGATGGTAATGGAGGGCAAATTCCTTGCATTTGGTCTGTAAATGACATATTGGTAGAGCTTGTTGGAGTGTTTGCACGCAAATAAAAATTGCTGCATCTTTCTTCTTACTGTTTCTTTCCATGGTTGTTTTCTGAGCTTGCATGCTTAATTCTGTGTGGAAGGGAAGAAGTGGAAAGTTTAGTGTTGAGTTCATGTCTTTGGGTCAAAAAAGTATTTGAATCATGCCTAAGCACTTGCTGGAAAATGCATTTCAATTTGCCAAATCAGTTTTATATGTTCCAGATTTTTCAACTTGCTGAACGTATTTTATTTTTGTTTGCACTGGATTTTGCTCAGTTTTTTTTTTCTATTTGTTTGGATGATGGCTTGCTGCCTAGTTTAAAGCCTTGTGCTTGGGTTTGAAATCTGAACTGGAAAACAAGTTGTGTGTTGGGCTTTGTTTAGTTGCTGAAGGCTGAATAAGAAAATTGCAGAAACGTTTCTCACATCATTTTTGCTGCATTAGTTTAATGTTCCATTCGGCAACAGCTTACAAGTCGGTTTCATCACTTTGTTTGTACATTTAAATCTTGGGTTTGATTTAGTTGATAATTGATAGTTAAAATCTGGGTTTGGTGAACTCGTTTGCATGATGAAATCTCGACTGAAATGGTGTAGAAATCGCAAAGAGATTGCAGCAGCCTTTTGTTTTGTTTTGTTTTTTTTTTTTCCCTTTACATGTTTGCATGATTTTCCAGAGTTTGGCATGAAATATTTCTAAATTTTCTACCTGATTGGATGGTGGTGAGTATGAAGTTTGGGTCTAGATTAAAGTTGTGTGTTTGGGTTTGAAATCCGAGCTTGAACAATAAGCTGTGCGTTTGGTTTTGTCTTGGAAGCAAAAGAGAGCATGTTGCATTTTAGTTGCAGTAGTTTAAGTCTCACGTAGCTTGCATGAATTTGCATGGAAAAATTGTTTCAAAATTGCCTCTTAACCCCCTCAAGTTTCCCCTTATGCCAGTATGACCCAAAAAATTGGGAAAATCAATCAAATTGACCCCTCAAATTTCTTTAGTTTTTGCAATCAAGCCACTACTTGTTTTAAATTTTACATGGGCTGTTCACCTTCCTTTAAATGCCTTGGATTGATTCAATTTCATGTTTACTTTTATCTTTTGTGATTATTTCTTGATTAAAGTGATGCTTTGACTCTTTTATTATTTTTGAGGGTAAATAAGTGGTTCCATTCCATTTGGGCCCAACTCAAGGGAGGTACACCCTAATCCTTCATTTCTTACTTGATTTTGACTCTACGTGCTCCTATGTGTTATGTGTGAATATGCATGCTTTAATTCGCTTTTCATTTCACGTTTAATTGCCTATTTCGCTTTCTTTTTATTTCATTTTTCTTAATTTGCAAGTGATTTGAAGGCACTTGAATGCCAAGTTGTAATAGCTAGGTTATTATTTTTATTTTTATTCCGTTCCCCCTCCTAGATTGTATAGGCCTTCTTCCCCTAAAAATGTGATAGTTAGGGCCTTAGTTGCCTTATGTGTCTTGCATGTCTATGTGCTATATGTTTCATCGCCTTCTTAGGTTTTGGCATCTAGATATGCATGCTAAATGTTATGTGCTACGTGTTTATAAGTGTTTGGCATGTCTACTCGCTTTCCATGGTCATGAATGAATGTGATGGACGAATGTACGTTTCCACTAGTCCAACGCTAGTCGGAATTCATAGAATGGGCTAGTCCAACGCTAGACCCTTAGGGGTTTCCCCTCGTTAGTACATGTTTGTATGTTCATTACATGTCATGCATTCTTTTTAGTTTTGTCATTTTTTGCATGCCCCCGATTCCCTTTCCCTTCATTTTAGGCCTTTGCATTTCATGCTAGTTATAGAGTCCATTTGCCTGAGAAACCCCCTTGGGTAAGGGAAACGAGCGAGTGTGGCTTCAAAATAGCCTTAGCACGCTAGTTTTTCCTTCTAATCAAAGGGAAAATTAAAATCACAAAAACTAGAGGTCATTCCCCTACCCGACCTGATGCATTCCTCTAAGTTCATGCATTTTCATATCATTTTCTCACTATTTTCCTCACTAATTATATATTTTAAATCCACATGTCATATTCACACACTTATTCACTTTCTTTACTTTTCACTTCACACATTGCACCTATTTTACTTATATATTTACTATTTTCATTCACTTGCACACGAGCATTTATATTTCATTCATTTGCACACAAACACTTTCAAATTGCACACATGCACTTTTTTCTACACTTTGCACACTTACACTCTCATTTGAGTCCTCATTTGCATCATTCATGATTTTCTATGAGGACTTTCCTTATTGGCCGTCACGACTCGTGTGAATGGGACCAAAAGCCTCATAAGAAACATTTCTTAGACTTAGGATTGCATTTCTCATTCATTAGTCAAATCCAATTTGCAATACATACTTTGGGTAGAAAATATAGGAAAATAAGGGTTAAATCACGCAACTAGTCTTGGTTAGGTCGAAGGGGTGCCTTGGATTTTTATCCTTGCCTTCCCCTTCGTCAAATGTGACTCCCGAACCTTTTTCTTTGTTTTACGTGGACTAGGAGTCGTTTAAAAAGGGTTTTCTTACTTTTTTCTTTAAAAAATTCATTTTTTGGGTGACTTGGTACACCCTAACTCTATACCAAGTGGCGACTCCATTTTTCATATAAAAACCCTTTTTGAATTATTTTTCTTGGGTCAAATCGTCGCATTTTCAAAAGTCCCATTTAGACCCATTTTTGTTTTTATCAACAAAATTCATTTTTCCCAAATCAATAAAATTCAACAAAAAAACAATTATTTTATTTTTTCCAAAAAAAGTGGGGCGCGACAGTTGGCGACTCCACTGGGGACTTCCTAAGTGGGTCCAAGCATTTGACTTAGCCATTCGTTTCCTTTTTCTACCCTTTTTATGCATTGCATTTGGATATTAGGCTTGCATTTTCCATTTTTAGGGCCTTTTTGCCTCGCGCGCGTATCCAACTATTCCCTCACTCACGTATGTGTGATTGTTTGATTGGATGTGTGTTTACTTGTTATCTCGCGCTTGCATTGCATTTTGGGAGGTATGGGTCACCCTAGAGCCTCGCGCTGGTTCTTGACCCTTCCCCTCCAAACGAGCACTAGCATACGAGCATACGCTTTACTTCTTTTATCCCTTTTATTTTTCTTTAGTGGCTTGTCACGCCACTCCACCCTATTAGGATTAGGTGACTCACTTGGGCATGTGATCATGACACGATGTGTGTGTAGCATGTTCCAATGGGTCACTCAATCTTCC